GCAGGGAGCCCCAAGGGACGGGGAGCCCCATGGGGACCCCTCTCCCACCCCACACCCCATCTCCCCCTCCCACCCCGTAAGCGCACCCTCTTCCCTGTCGAAGTTCCCAGGCGCCGTTCACTTTTCAGATGGGAAACGAGCCCCAGCCCTCCCTCTGCACTCCAAAAAAAAAAAAACCCAAAACCAAGAGAGGAGAGAAATAACAAACAAATCCCTTCCCTCTCCTGGCTTGGCATCTGCTCGCAGTCCTTCCATTATTAATTAGAGAAGCTGCCGGCATTATTAGCAATAAACCGCTCCTAATGAAGTTCAGAGCCGCAGATCCAGGAGGGGCTCCCAGACACTGCTTTTCAGAAACCTTAATTAAATTCACTGCCCGAAGGTGCTTTCGGCTGGAGTGGAGGCAGAGCGGCGAGGCTGCCCAGGCTGGGCATGGCCACGCCAGTGGCGGGGCCCGGGTGAAGGGTGGCAGGGGGAGAGGGGCACCCTGCTGGGCTGCAGCCCCCAGGGACACCCCGTCCCCTCCGGATTTGGGGCCAAACCAAGGGATGGGCTGGGATGTGCCGTTGCAAAGTGGGGGACAGCCCAGACACTGCAGGGATGGCAAAGGCGGACCATTTAATTCATTAATTAAATTAACCAAGGGCCAGGGACATCCGGGGGCCAGCAGGGAGGGCTCCCAGCAGCAGGGTCCCCGGCCAGTCCCAGCTCTGCCATCCTTGCTGGGATGTCCTAGCGGGGCGGCCCTTGGCTTGCAGATGCTTCAAGGCTTGGGAAGGCCAGGCCCCCCCGGGCGAGGGGACCCCGGCTGCAGGCTGCTTCCCACCCGCTCCCCCAAGGGTGAGGTTTCCTCAAGTGACACGATGAAACCCGGCCAAGCTATGGCCATGTTTCCTTCGGCACATCCAGCATGGATTGCTCTGCACCGGTGGCACTCAGCGATCCAGAGATCCCGCTGCTTTGCCTTGGGGCTGGGACAGTTCATGTCTGGATGTGGCTGTGGGAGAGGTTCTTTGGGAAAGGATCGTTTTCACCCCAAACTTCAAAAGAAACCAAAATCCTTGCAGGAACCCTTTCCACTGATCGCTCCCCTTTTGATGCAGGGAGGGCTGAGATAACATCCCCGAAGAGCAAGTGCAAAACCTGCCCAAA